CTGTTCCCCTCTTTCTCCTGCTGCCTGCCCTGGGGTCTCCCTCATGGGGACCACCCCTGTTGCTCCCTACTGACATCCCAAATAAAGGGACCCCTCAGCTGCAATTCCCGATCCCAAGTTAGCTGTCACTGTTTTCTTCCAATGAAATCTGGCAGCAACCCAACAGAGGGAAGAAACAAACCTGCTATAATTAATGTTCTTGCTGTTCAAATATTTATATAAAGCAAGATAGAGCCGTATGCCTCTGCAATCTCTTGGATCTGTCCAACCTTCTCAGCTTTGCAGCCGGGAATAATTTTAATTGATTACACAGTGCTGCTGGTGGCTCAGGCCAGCTCCCCTTCCCAGTGCCCAGCCCCACACAGACCACCCCTCCCTTAGGAAAGCTTACACTGACCCCACAATACAAACAGGAGAGATCAAGGACTATCCCTCTGATGGAAGAAGGATTTGTGGATGTTTTTTCCCAGGCATGGGTTTGGGTACAAATGGAATTAGGAGCTTCGCTGTCTTACATCATAAGTGGCACCAGTTCAGGCAAGTCCTGGGGAATTGAAGCCTGGACCAGGTACCCACCTCGCTCCTCCCCAGGGCTGAATTAATTCAAAACTGAGATGCTGCAAGAAGTTACAGGAGATTTTAAAGTCTGTGACCAATTCCCCTGGTTCCAATATAATCACTTCTGTTACAACAGCGATGAATTCCCAATCTCTTGATGACTCCAGAGCTCCTGCCAGTTGACTCTAATTTCAGCTCATTTCCCTTATAATTTTGCCTCCTGTTTTTGCTGCAGAGGTCGGAACGGCTCTCAGCCCTTCAGGTGAGCTGCCCAAACAAGATGATGCAATGGCTGCGCTGCTCCCACCGGCTCCTGGAGCAGCTCATTTACTGATGCGCTCCTGGGAAGCGGCTTAACAACAGGATGTGCAACACATCCGTAACAATTGCATCAGCTGCGACGCCAGAGGAGTTTTTCCCTGTGCTTGAGCTTCGTCTGGGCTGTCTGTGATCGATCTGCCACATGAATTCATGTCTGCTGAAGAACATGAGAACTCACCATCACCCAGCTCCATTATGCCAGCGTTTCGTTATTTTTATTACCGCCGGCTAAAACGATCGATCTCCATGAAAGACGCTTCCTTCCTGCATTGATTCCACCTTGACCACGTCCCTTCTGCCCGTCCTGTGCAGCCCGAGCTCTGGGAGCACTGCTGGCCTCTGTCCCAGCACCTGTGGGGCTGCTCGTGGAGCCCCAGCCTCGGGCCAGATGTTGCCCCAAGCTCCACTCGTACAATTCCAACACCGAGGCTCCTCAGTCCAAATTGTGACTGTACTGGCCAACATCCCAAGGTGAAGGGAGTGAAGGAACCAATGCCAGCGTGTGCATCTCCTCTTCAGCACTGCTGTGGTGCTTGTGAGGTATCAGCAATGGCAGTTGAGGAGTGAAAAGCCTCCTGAGCACCCACGAAAGCTCCTGCTATCCAGGGATCACTCTGGCACAGCACAAACCCCACCCCAAACCAAACCCCACTCAGAGCACTAAGTGCTTCCAGAACCGACTGTATAGATCTGATGTCACGGTCAGTTCAATAACTCCAGCAGCATCAGAGGATGGACGTTACAGAAGTGTCAGATGCTGTTTGGTCGCCTGCATGTAACAAAAGCCTTTTAGTTTCAATTTACTGCTGGGGAAAATGGGAGCAGAGGAATTTCCCAAGGCAGCAGCGAGCCAGAGCTGGGCACAGAGAGCAGCTGCCCTGAACTGTGTCCTTCAGGCCACAAGGCAAACATTTCCTGACAGCCAACAAACAGCGGGGACAGGGGAGGGAAGGGACGGAACGGAATGATTTTATCTCCAGAATCCCTCCTTTTGCACAGAAACTCACGCCCTGACACAGCTGCCATCAGTGCAGGCATTCCCCACACCAGCTGCCTCCTGCAGGAGCCACGTGCAGGGAGCACTGAGGGTTAAGAAGGACACAAACCCCAGGACAGTAAGGCCACCTTTCCTTGAGGGATGAGGGCACCCTGCAGGAGGTGCCAGGCTGGTCCAAAGAGAGAAGCAGGAGTGTGCGTGCTGCTGCTGGGACACTCCCGCTGCTCCCAGCCCAGGAATTGTGTAAATGGGAGGAGGATGCATCAATCGCTGCGTGGGACCCCTGGCAGCCTGTCAAACCGAGAGGCAAAGAGGGGGAAAAACAATGGACACGTTTTTATTTCCTTATGTTCCACCAGGCGAGTTGGTGACTTGCAACTGCCTTACTTGTGCAATCCTGGGCTCCCCAGCCCGCCTCCCTCCCTCCTCCTGCACACCCTGCAGAGTTTGTGGCTCCCTCACGCCCAGGTGGCCAGGCCACCTCCCTGGGGACACTGCAGGAGGCAGATGTGACTCGTGACTCCTGGTGACACATGAATTCTGTCAAGCAGCTCACAGAGTCCCCGCTCTCATCTGATCCAAGCGTACCTGCGCATCCCAACTCTTCCACAGTGACCCCTTCCTCAGTTTCTGAGGATATCCAACCACACAGGAAGCTGGCTGGACTGAAATGCAACACATTCCTCCAGCTTCTGCAACAAGCACAGGGAAGAGCAGAGCTGTCTTTGCAGCAGCTCCCAGAGCAGAGGGAAACAACCAGAAACAGAAACTCCTGGCAGAGAGGAGGTGGTGACTGGGAGGTGGGGAGGGAAGAGAGCTCAAACAATCTGCCAGCAGCACAAACTTTGTTCCCACTCCAATTCTGGCTCAGAGGGGAAGCAGCCAGCAGCAAAACCCAAACCAAAACAAACCCTTAAGAAACAAGGAAGCTGTTCCCATGTTTGTAGTGACTTCTGAAACAGCATCTCCCGTCCCCCAAAATGCTGACATGAAAGCAGGAAATATGAGATGCTTTTTGACCAGACTTTTGCCAAGGATTCCATGCAAAATCTCCCACTCAACAGCTTGTAAGATCCTGCAGATTCCATGGAAGGCGGCTCAATGGGGAAGAACAAATTGGCACCAAAAATGCACACACTGGACAAAACCCTTTCAAGTCAAAAGTCCCAAACAACAAAAGCTCTGTTTTATTAATCTGCTGCCAATTGTGAGTGTCATGTGCACCGTGTGAGGCTTCAGACTGGCAGCACGGGGGTTAAAAAGGAAGGGAAAAAGCAGAAGCAAGCAGGCTGTGTGTGCAGAGCCGGCTCTGCCTGGCTGGAGCTGTCTGGGCTCCAGCAGCAGTGAGGAAGGGCCGGCAGAGGGCAGGGAAATGCCGCAGGAATTCACAGACAAGGCTCAGAAGATGCAATAAACCGAATTTCCTTCCTTTCCTGACACTATTTGCAGCTCAGAGCAGAAGTGTTGCAGCACAGTTAAGCCACAGCACTCCTGACTCACTGGACGCTGCCTGGGACCCTCCTGCACCAGCTCCTTGTGGGAGAATCCAAGCCCACTGCATTCCTGGGACAGCACGCCAGGGCTGGGGTTTCCCCAGGATGAGCTCAGCCTCCTGCTTTTCAGCAGCCAGGATGTTATTCCAAACGTGTCCATCACTCTTCCCACTTCCCACCACTACAGCGGGGTAATAACACACTCCTGTGCTTCACAATCCCTCCACGAGGACAGGAGATGCCAGCCTGTGCACATCTCACTCCTGCTCATTGGGGCTTCTCTCACCCACTGATCTGGCAAAGGCTGGACTTTATTGATGGGATGGGATGGGAGGGAATGGGATGGGATGGGATGGGGATGGGATGGGGTGGGATGGGATGGGATGGGAGGGGATGGGATGGGATGGGATGGGATGGGATGGGATGGGATGGGAGGGGATGGGACGGGATGGGATGGGATGGGAGGGGATGGGATGGGATGGGATGGGATGGGATGGGATGGGATGGGATGGGACGGGATGGGATGGGATGGGAGGGGATGGGATGGGATGGGATGGGATGGGATGGGAGGGGACGGGATGGGATGGGAGGGGATGGGATGGGATGGGATGGGATGGGATGGGATGGGATGGGATGGGACAGCCACCACTCACCCCACTGCACAGGTGCTGCAGAGCTCAAGCCCAGCAAACCCTGGGCACATCCTGAATGCAAAGCTGACACAAAGTCTGACATCACCTCACAGAAGGGTTTTTAAATATCCAGAGAGAATTGAATGCATTAGAATACTTCCTCACAAGCCTCGTTCTTACTGGCATTCTCTGGGCTTGAGATCAGCCCACAAAATAGAGGCAGAACCTCTTCAACTGTCAGTGCAGGCTGTGCATTGCTGACACGCACTAAGGAGAACTCGTTTCTCCTCATTTCAGGTGTAGTTCCAAAGTTGAGTTGTAGCCTAAAAATCATCCCCATGGTGCTTCAGGAATGCATCACATCCATCCTCCCTGAGATGGGAACGAGTAACACAGCAACAGGGCAGGGCCCAGAGAGTCAGAACCACTGGGTATGGAAACAGGGAGTTATATGGGTGCCTTCCTGCTCCTTATTCCCTTGCCAAGGTGCCCTCATCCCCCTGTGGAGTTTACTGCAGGTGACTGGGAAGCACTGACTGAAACACCCAGGTTAGACATGCAAGAATGAATGTTTATCTGTCTGAAGTGGGACCACGTTCTGAACTGCAGCAAAACAGGCTCCCACACGCAGGTTTCCAGGTTTCGTGTCAACACAGGGCCTGGAGGCGTGCCCACGGCTCAGGAAGTCAGCAGGGCCCTTTGATGTGGCTCTGCACGAGAAGCAACAAGCTCAGATCCTCAGCAGAGCCAATTAGGCCAACAAAGGACCCGTTTAGTTTAGCAGTGCTGCTTCCAGGGTTCAAGACAGTTCACCTGCAAGGACGTACACAGCCCTGATGTTTGGGGCCAGGGTTCACTCAGCAGAAGCAGAACTGGCTGACAGTTTCCCGTAAACTCCATAGGAGTCTGAAGCAAGACAGGGCATTGAGCTCAATGCCACCGTGAAGTTTCTCAACCCCCTTCAGCACCTCCCAGCACCCAGAGGGTGGATGCACTCACCTGCTCTCACTGTCCATGAACACGGAGCTGCTGCTTTTCCCCAGGGCTTCACTGATGGGAGAGAGGCAGAAGGGGGAAGAGAAGGCGTCAGAATCAGAGTCAAAAGTGCTGTCCCTGCTCACATCGTCAGCAGACAGCTCCAGGGAGCCCTCGTCCTCCGTGCCCTCGGACCTGCAGGGCTCCTCCTGGGAGCTGACGGTGGACGGGGTGCCCGAGTCGCTGCGGGGCGGCCGCGGGGCCGGCCGGGCGCTCTGCGCCGGCTTCTCCCGCTCCGAGGAGGGCGCCCCGTCCCCGGGGGGCTGGCACACCGGGGGCCCCTCCGAGTCCCCGCCGGGGCCCGGCGCCCCCCGGTGCTGCGGGGGGGACGCGGTGCCCGGGCCCGGGCCCCGGCCGCGCTTGCGGGGCGCCTTGCGCACCGGGGAGCCCTCGGGGGTGACGTAGCGCAGCGCCTCCTCGTCCTGCCGCTGGATGCGCGAGTTGGGCACCCAGGCCAGCATCAGCGTGGCGCCCAGCAGCTCGTCCTTCTCCATGTACAAGCACAGGTAGCCTGAGAGAGAGCACAGCAGCAGCGGTTGGGATGCGGAGTCGTCGTAAGGGAGCCGCGTTGCCCTGAAATTTCCCCTTCCCTGTCTCTCTCCATCCCTGGAAATGGCCAAGGCCAAGCTGGGTGAGGCTCTGAGCAGCCTGGTTTGCTGAAAGGTGCCCATGGCATGAATGCTCCTCAGGACCCTCCCTTTTCAGGTGATGCCCCGTAACCCAAACCATTCCATGATTCCTGCTGCTTCACAGCCACTCCACATGGGCAAAACAAACCCTTTAATTTACCAGGACAGAACTCTGTCAGAGGAATTGTAGAGTGCTCAGCATTATTCAGTATTTGCAAATCATTTCAAGTCTGCATGTGGCTTTTGAACAGCCTGAATTCCCTCTGGCCTAACTGAACACAGAAATGACATGCAAATACTTGGACTTCCTGGACAGATTTACTAATCAAGAGTAAATAATAAAATATGTTCCCACATGAAAAAGTTTTACTGTTTCTTAGTTAAACAATTTCAAGTGCCAGCAGAACATTGATTTCTCAAGAATATTTACCTCAGTGTAGCTGAAGGGCTACAGTATTTATGGGAAGCCAATGGAAAAAGAAGACACCCACACCAAAAGGAAAGCAAGGGTCAGTGCTCAGAGAATAATTCATTTTGTGAAGCTAAGCCAAGAGCCACAGGTCTTTGATGAGAACATGAAAGAGCACAGGAACAGACGAGAATAAAAGGACAGAGCGGGATTTATCCTCATTTACTCCAGTGCATGCAGCCACAATCAGGCTTTTTGGATTTTCCCTTCACCAGCAATGACAGCTACAAGAGGATACTTGGATTTCCTGAACAATTCAGGGATGTGAACAAGCAACAGAAGTTACTGTCCTCACATGACAACTTCTGACTGCTCAAAAGGACTTACTGAACCAGTAAATCCATGCTGGACCAGAAGGGAAAGGAGCAATATCACTAATCTTCCTACTAAAAGGAGAGCTGATGGATCAGCTTGTGGATGGCTTTCCTGAGCGTTCCACAAAACCACCTTGCCCTGTCCTCACTGGCACCCCTTCATTTCTCAGAGCCCAGGGTGCAGAGAAAAAGAGAGAAAGGGCAGGGTTTGCCATCACCTGGGTGGTGCTCCCCGATGCCCTGCAGCAGCTCGGGGGGGTGCACGCACACATTGTTCTTGGAGTAGATGATGTCCCCGTCGAGCAGGGAGCAGGAGCCGCCGGCAGTCAGCGTCAGGAGGTCGGACGCTCTCGAGGAGGCTCGACGGAGGAGTCGCCCCAGAGACATCGCCAGGGAAATGTTTCCATCATCTGTCAGCTCTAGCCAGGAGCCAGGTTCAGAGGATCTGCCAGGAAGGAGGAAAAAACAGGGTGAGAACCAAAATAACGACAGCTGGGCAAGTGCCACCCGCTGGCTGAGGACGAGTCTGCCACCAATGCACGCCTCAGGCAAGAGCCCAGCGATGCTGTGGGTCTGTGACATCACCTTCATGCCCCAGAGGTGCTCCAGTACAGGACATTTGTCTCTGCCATGAAGAAACATGAAGGCAGCAAAAGCCACATGTTCACAATTACTGTGGGAGGAGGAGAACAGCCATGCTGCTCACTGAAATCCCACTGAGGGAACAGCTCAGCCCGTGGATGTGCCCGATGTGTCACTGACCCGGGGATGTCACACAGCCACAGCTGATCCCAGAGGCTCCTTCAGCACAGAAATGGCTGAGCCCACAGCACTGAGCATGGGGCAGCTGCTCCAGCCACATCCAAAAACAACAGCAACCAAACCAGTCCATCCCCTGCTTGCCATGTCTGTGTGCTTGAGGTTTTCGGGGCTGGGATTTTTTTCTGGGACGTTGTTTTTGGGTTTGGTTTGGGTTCTTTTGAGCCTTGCCAGAGACGAGGCACAAAAGCCCTGTGTTCACCAGGGGGGCAGAGCCTGGACACAGAGCGTGGCACACCAGCTCAGGGCAAACATTTCACCCATCCAGAGTTACCCAGAACTGTGGAGCACAATCCCCAGAGCGTGGCACACCAGCTCAGGGCAAACATTTCACCCATCCAGAGTTACCCAGAACTGTGGAGCACAATCCCCAGAGCGTGGCACACCAGCTCAGGGCAAACATTTCACCCATCCAGAGTTACCCAGAACTGGAGCACAATCCCCAGCTCACCCCAGATAATCTCTGTGCTCAGGTGAGATGTGCTGCCTGCTGGGGCTGATGATGAGGAGCTCTGCAGAGGACCCAGAGGGGTCACCCAAGCTATAAAGCATTCAGCAGATGGACCAGGACGTGTTGGAAGAGCAGGAGAGCCTCACACAAAGCAGCTGCAGGCTCTCTGCAGCCATCCCCAGCTGGGAAGCACCAGGACCAGGGCAGTTTCTGTTCAGCCAAAGCCACAGGAGAAGAGGAAACTCCCACTTTTGTTCCTCTGTGTTTACATGGCCCAGCTGGCTGTGCCCAGGCCGGCGTGACCCAGCAGAGCCCGGGCACAGCCACGCTCCCAGGCCTGGGGAGCTCAGCCTGGGCTGCTCTGGGGACCAGCCCCACGCTGGGATGCAGGGCATGGGAGAGGAAAATCAAGCAGAAAATAAAGCCCTGGCCTGGGGCACCTTTTGAGGAATACTTAAGGGCCTAAGCAAGCACTGTCTGATGATGAACAGCTCTGATTTCCCTGATCTGGTTTTGATGGCAAACGCAGCCAGCCCAGGAGGGCAGAAGGCAGAAATGGCAGAGGGGCATCTCCCAAAGGGCAGAGGGAGGGCTGCAGGGAAGGGAAATCTGTCCTGCCTCTGAAGGATTGGGACATGCAGGAGACTGCAAATGAGGCTGCCAAGCTGTTGACAGAGTCTTCATTAAAGGACAAACTATTGGTTTAACTGCAATGGCCACAATTGTCAGCTCGAATCACAGCAGAGGCTGCTCCTGCCTTTCAGCCTTTGCTGGGATTTCATGGAGCAGCCTCAGCCCTGCACCAGCAAATCCTCAGGATGAGAGAAGCCCTTTGCCAGTCCTGCACGCTCCTGTCTCCCTCTAGCACCAGACACAAGTAGCCTCATGTCTCAGCCCCAAAACCAAACCCCAGCCAAGCCCTCAGCTCATTCCTGTCCACATTGCCAAAATCCACAGTTTCGGGCTCGGGGTTACACCTGGCAGAAAGTCACCTGCCTCAACCACACTTGAGGAGCAAAATTCACCTTTCCCTTCATCGCACCCTGCAAGAACAGACAGTAAATTCCGGTGCAACTTCTCCTTCCCCACAGTGAGTCACAACATGCTGTTCCCAAACAGGGCCAGGGGAGGCAGGGGCAGGGCTGTGCAGCCACCCGGGCAGGGTCACCTGTCAGCACAGCATGGCTGCAGCAGCACAGACCTTCCTCCCTGCCAGTGACCTCCTCAGAGCCCCAGAAATCAGGGGATGCACAGGAGGAAGGAGGCACAGCTGGCTGCTGCTGCTGCTGCTGCTGGCCAGGGAGTGCTGCTCAGGACACACAGGGACAGGGGCTGGGGAGGCACCTGAGGAACAAGAGGGCTGTGACGTCCTGCTGCAGCTCTCTGGGAGGGTCAGCACGTCCCTGCCAACTTAATGAGCCCTCAGCAGGCACAGAGAGAACAAAGGGACAGGTAAAGACCAAAAGCTGCTCCCTGCAAAGCCAGAGGAATTTAAAGGGAAGTCCCGCTCCGATCCTGCAGAACACCTGTTGTTCAGCACTGCCTGCACGTGCAGGTGGAAGGTGCTGCAGGTACACACAGGGCTGGGAAGGGGAAACCAAAAAAAACCACAAAAGGTTTGGAATAGTGTCCTGCCAGCTCAGAAATGCAGTCTGCTGGACTTGCCTTGCAGAAGAGCTGCACTCCAGAAATCAGAGACCACTGCAGTGCTGCAGACAGTAGCCAGACACTCTGGGATATATAAATATCACCAGGAAACTCAATCCTTGCACTGTTCTCACAGGCCAGGGAAGTCTCTGTAGCTTTGGCTGAGGGATTAATGAAAAACAGATGCAAGTCACGGGACAGTTTCAGGGAGGGTGACAAGAGTTATCTGGGCCAGGGAGAGAGATTGCCAAGGGAAGATAAAAGTGAGGGAAATGTATTAAAAGTCCTCACACATGGGAACTGTCACTGCCACAGAAAGGAAGAGCTGTTGATGAAGGACAGGAGAAGCTGCAGGGCAGCTGAACTGTGGCAAGGAATACCCAGTGCTGTCATTCTAGTAGCTGGGACAATGCTGCACCAGAACAGGGAACCCCAAGGGGCCATTTACAATACTGGGGTTTCAAAGGCCACAGAAATAAATACCCAGTCAGTCCCACGGGGACCAGATGGTGGGCTGGACCTCTGAAGGTCATCTAATCTACTGGTACAGCCCCAAAACCCCTGAAACTCAGCTTGGGAAAGTGCACCTCCTTCCTAAAACACAGGAGCTCATACAGCACAAAGCAGCACATCACAGAGAACAATCTGCAGGGTTTGCTGCATTCTCAGCCCTTCTCCACATGGGACAACATCTGCACACACAATCCGTGGGGCCTGGGTCCTGGGGAGAGGCAGGAACTGCTGCTGCCTCTGGGAAAGCAGCAGGAACCATCCCACGGCTCAGGCAGCACCATTCAAAAACCTCATTTTTCATATTAATTTGTATTTATCTGCTGATCTGAGGGGATTCTTCTCAGTGTGGCAGAGCCAGCTCAGCTCTCCAGAAGCCAAAGCACTGCGTTAGCTGATAAGCTCTTGCTGAGTGCCAATATTTATTAAGCACACACACATTTTCTTCTCCCACACATCAAGCCTTGCCACTAAAAATCTTCTCTGCAGCTCCTGTGCCTGTTCACACAGCCCTGGCTGCTCTCCCAGCCGGTGCCAGCACTTCTCAGCTTGCTGAGTGAGAAATGCTGGGGAGCCAATTCCTGCAATCACCCTGGAGCCTCTTCCCCAGAGCCCGTCCAGCTCCAGCCAGCAGCATCCAGCCTGGCACCGGCTGCTGCTCCCCAGGATGCCCTTCCCTGCCCAGAGCCATCCCCAGGACCCTGTTTGCCTTGGCACAGTGCTCCTCAACCCCTGCCTCTTTCCTCTCTTGGGAACAGCAAGTGCCGCGTTTGGAAGTCTCAAGCACAGAGCAGCTGGAGAATGGAGCCTGGAGAATGGAGAATGGAGCCTGGAGTATGGAGAATGGAGCCTGGAGCCTGGAGAATGGAGAATGGAGTATGGAGCCTGGAGTATGGAGAATGGAGTATGGAGCCTGGAGAATGGAGCCTGGAGAATGGAGAGTGGAGCCTGGAGTATGGAGAATGGACAATGGAGCCTGGAGTATGGAGCCTGGAGAATGAAGAATGGAGCCTGGAGTATGGAGAATGGAGCCTGGAGAATGGAGCCTGGAGAATGGAGTATGGAGCCTGGAGAATGGAGCCTGGAGAATGGAGTATGGAGCCTGGAGAATGACGAATGGAGCCTGGAGTATGGAGAAGGGAGCCTGGAGTATGGAGAATGGAGTATGGAGCCTGGAGAATGAAGAATGGAGCCTGGAGTATGGAGAATGGAGCCTGGAGTCAGGACCCAGCTCCTCCAGCCCCGGGTGGATCTGCTGTGCCACCCTCAGCTGGTCACTCACTTCACCTCTGCTGCTCTGCAGGCACATAGAGCCCTTGTACCACCTTCCCTTTGTGTTACAAACATTGGGAATAAAAGGAGAAAAGCTTCCCAAACTCCTCGCTGCGCTGGAGCCGGTGAAGAGGATGCAGCCAAATCAAGGCAAAGCATTTACCGTGGGGAGCCACTCTGAAGTCATCCCATCTCATGGGGAGAGCTATGTAGGTCACCGAGCAGTGTTTCACTGCTGCCCTGCTGGAGCTGCAGCGGCTCACAGAGCGAGAGCAGAGGGAAGGGAACAGCCAAAATCTCCACAATTCCAAATGCAGGCGCTACAGGGGGACTGACTACACTCACATCTCTGCTGAGCAGTGAAAACGGGGCAGCAGCCTGAATCCTGCAGGGCAGCGACTGCAGGGATGAAAAGGGAAAGGCAATGCTGTGTCAGGGCTGGCTGCTCCCAGCCACACCTGCCCAGGCATCAGAAAGCAAACAGAAAGCAAACAAAGGGCAAACAAAACTCACCCATCCCCAGCACCACACTGACCAACAGCCCACGCTGTCACCGAGGCACTGTGCGTGCCACATGTCCCTCTGTCCCTGATTCACCAGCCTTTCGTGTCACTTGTCCGCACTGCTCGGGCACAGGAAAGGCTTTTATGGCTTTTTATTTCCCACATCCTGTTGCTGTGTCCCGGTGACACCCTCAGGACTCGATGCTCAGAAAGCAGCGGCTCAAACCCCAGCAGTGTGGATCCCAATCCCGGCTCGGTGCGTGAGCTGCCTGCTCCGCTCTCAGTGTGACAGACACCAGACCAGCACCAGCCCTGCCACTCGGACACACACAACTTTCCCTTTCCTCCCTATTCCGAGCAGCAGCTGAGAACAAAGCACCTCTGCAAGGCGAGTCCGAGAGCCGACAGGGCAGCTCTCCGTCCCAGAGGAGTTATCGTGCAGTGTCAGCAGCCCAGAGAGCAGGGCAGCCCCCCCCAGCCCCTGCCTGCTCCTCAAACCACTGCCCACGGTGCTCCAGCCGCCTTCCCGCGGGGAACAGGGCTCAGGCAGCTCTTGGGCTCCCCAAAGCAAGGAAAACATTGAAACACCCCAAACTGCGCGGAGCCGCACCGAAAGAACAGGAGAGAAAGTTTAAGAAGTATTTCCATTTCCACCAGCGCCCCCGGCGGCATCCCGACCCCCGGATAGCAACCCTGACCCCCGGATAGGATCCCGACCTCCGGACAGCAACCCTGACCCCCGGATAGGATCCCGACCCCCGGATAGCAACCCTGACCCCTGAACAGCATCCCGACCCCCGGGCAGCATCCCGATCCGGGACAGCATCCCGACCCCCGGATAACATCCCGACCCCCGGATGGCATTCCGACCCCGAGCAAGCTCCCGTTGTCCCGGAGCTCCCGCCGCCCTCCGCGGGGCTCTGCCGTGGGAAGGGCGAACAAAGAGCGGATCAAGCACGGAGCTGCCCGGTACCGGCAGGATCCCGGTGTCGGGCCCGGGTGTCCCGGGGCAGCGCTACAGGATCCCCCGGCCCCCCAGCCCCGCCGCCCCCAGCCCGGCCCGGCCCGGCCCCGCCGTACCGGCACAGACGAGCCCGGGGCAGCTCCCGGCGCTGCCCAGCCCGGGGCGGGCTCGGAGCCGCCGCCGCTCCCGGCCCTGCGCGGAGCCGCCGCCGCCGCCCGCCCGCTCCGTCCGGCCCGCGGGGCTGTGCCCGCCCGGCGGCCCCGCCCGTCCGGCCGGCCCGGCGCCGCTCGGCCCGAGGAGGGCACGGGGACCCGCCCGGTGCCGGTACCGGGGCCCGCGGGCGGAACCGGGGCAGGCGGGGGACGGAGCGTGGCCCGAGCCCCCCCGCGCGCCGGGATGGTGCGGCCCGAGCCCCCCGCCCCCCCCGCGGGCCGCGGTGGTGCCGCCCGGGCGGTCACGTGAGCGGGTGTTGATGCGTTACCTGGCAACGGCAAGATGGCGGAGCCGCCGCGGGTGAGTCGGGACCGGGCCGGGCCGGGCCGAGCCGGGCTGGGATGGGATAGGACGGGACGGGACTGCCCGCCCGGGGCTCCTCCGCCGGCCCGCACCGTGCTATCCATCCCATCCCATCTCATCCCATCCTGCCCCGGCACCGCCCCACTGCTCCCCCAGTCCCCGTCTCGTCCCCTCCACCACGGACCGGTACTGCCCGGTCCGGTTCCACTGCAGCCCGGTACTGCCCGGTATTGCCCGGTCCGGTTCCGCTGCAGCCCGGCACTGCCCGGTACTGCCCGGTCCGGTTCCGCTGCAGCCCGGCACTGCCCGTTCCCTCCACCACCGGCCCGGTACCGTCCGGCACGTCCCGGTACCTCCCCCATGCCCAGTCCTTTACAAAGAAAGAGAGGAAGAAGAACAAGAATAATCAGGCTACATGTGCTGGCTGGAAGAATTTCTTTAATAAATCTGTAAGGGATTTTTTTTGATAGCTATGAACTCGAAGCACGTGGAACTGTAAGTGGTGTGGAGAGGTTTTGTCAGGATCTTTACGATCTCAGGGCTTGCTGGATGACTATTTTTGTAAATGAGATTAAACTTCTAAATTAAACTCCTGCGCCCTGTGGCAAAAAATACCGCAGCATTAGAATGAAATGCAGATGGCCATGTGCTGCTCTGCTTTTCAGCTGTGCAGAGTGCCAGGCCTGGGGAGAATGGCAATGACCAGGAGAGCGTGTTCCTCTGGAGGAGCAGAGTCACTGTCCCTGCAGGAGGAGAGCTCTGGCTGCAGGGCTGTTCCTGGGCTCCGCACCAGTGGGACACTGTAATTACATTTTGGGGGGGCAGGCTGCAGAGCCAGGCCCTTGTGCTGGTCCTTTTGCATTGTTCATGTCCCATTACAAAAACGAGCAGGTCTTTAGGGATAAGTAGGTTTAGATGGAAAAGGTGGATTATGTTTCAGGAAAAATCCCCTGAGCCTTCCCCAGACAATGCAGAATGTGACCAACCTTTGTGCCCCTGCCCAGGACGACATGGAGCAGCCAGGCCCAGGTGGAGGAGCCTCTCCCCCTCCCTCGGGAGCACCTGCAGCCGAGCCAGGTACCCCAGTGGCTGTGGCACAGCTCTGCCGTGTCCCTTTGTGTCACTGTAAGCCGGGCAGAGGCACGGTGCTGTGAAACCTGACCCTGTGCTTTGCCTTTTCCCTTTCTGCGGCCCAGGGAGCGCAGCAGGAGCAGGAGCAGGAGCCAGCTCTCACCATGCAGGGCCCAGCTCGGAGCTCCCCGCTGGCCATGGCAGCCAAAGAAGGGAGAGGGCGGCCGAGGAGCCTGAGAGGAGAAAACCGAGGCTGAAAAAAGGAGAAACAGAGCTGCTCGTCCTGGACCCAGAACACGTGAGGAGTCTTCAAGTCTTGCTGTTCTTTGCAGGGCTGGGGTTTGTGTTTCTCTGAGACGTGTGAGGTGAGCTGTAAGCAGGGGCTGTTCAGCTGCACTGAGTGTGAAATGTGAGTGTGAAAATCAGTTTGGCCAGAGTATTAACTGCTGCCTGTGCCACTCAGTGCTGACCCAGAGCTGCAGGCTCAGAAGTGAGCAGTGCAGTGGGTAAATCTGGTCCCTGCAGTGCCCCTGAAAGAGAAGAAGAAGAAGAAGAAGAGCCCTCCTTGCAGCAAGGGTGGGTTCTCAGATGTGGCTCTTCTGATTCTCAAACATTCCCACTTTTTGGCATCGGCGCAAACCCACGCTGTAACATCTCTCACTTGCAGTGAGTGCAGCTAAAATAGCTAAAGTAGCTGAAATAAGCGCACAAGAGTCTGTGGCAGAAATAAGTTGTTTTATTGGGTGGGGGACGTAGCAGTGAGGCTCCTTCATAATCTATTTACACAAGTATTAATATTAACAAGCTCTACTACTGTCCTTTACAGCCTCTGATGACAAGATTCCAGGCTGCCCTGAAGAACTACCTCACCAAGCAGATAGAACAAGTGAACCTGGACCTGCATGGAATGGTACCCGGCCCCTCCTTCGCCTCCCCACTGCCCCTCCTGCCCAAGCTGCTGGGACACAGCCCCCCATCTCTTGTGTCCGCAGAGAACAGCCATGAAGAGCAGCAGGGAGCAGCGGGAGGAGCTGGGGGTGATCCTCTATGGGGCCCAGCAGCAGCTGGGGCAGCTGGAGGAGGAGCTGGAGAAGAGCCACGAGCGCTGGTGGCAGGCGGCGCAGGCACGGCAGCAGCTGGAGGAGGAGCTGCAGGCCCTCAGGGCTGCTCACAAGGAAATGTGCCACAGCACCGAGGGGGAGCGCAAGAAAGGTGACCCGGGCACTCCTGGCAGCGTTTCCCAATTCTAGGGCTGTGTGCAGAAATTAACTGGAATTCAGGCGAGCGCTGGATTGGAAAATGCAGCAGAGTAATTAATCAGGAATAATGTGCTCATTGAAAAGTTTCATGGATTCTCCTGGAGTTCTGTGAGCTGGGAGTGCAGGAATTGCTTGCCAGGATCTCTGGTTGTGGAGCTGTACTCCAGAGCTGATGTAAATGTGTGTCCTGGGGAGGGCTGGTTATTACCTGATGTGTGAGAGGTTTTGCTTCAGGTGCTTCTGTATTTCTTCATCTTTTATCTGTGTTTGAGGTGTACCCTACAAACAAACTCCTCTGTCCCTACAAACAAACTCCTCTGTCCCTACAAGCAAACTCCTCTGTAACTATTTTGCCCCCTGTCTCCCCAGTTTCTACAATGCAGACCCAGATTGAGAACCTGGCCTTGGAGCTCCTCTACGTGCAGAGCATGGACCAGGAGATGCATCACAGGCTCTTACTGATGAAACAGACAGCAAGGAGGGCTGAGGCAGACAGGATCCGGGCTGAGGTGGAGAAGAAGAAACAGGTACCAAGAAAAGCTGTCTTTGAAATAAATAAATGCAGGTGCCAGCAGTCAGTCCTGGGGGATGTGCCACCTTGTCAGGAGGAAGGCTGGAGTGATTGAATCATGGAAAATGAGTGCGGATGTTTTTCTCAAATAACTGAAAAAAATAATCCAGAGGCTTTTCTGAAAAGGAGGAGAAGCCCTGCCTGCCCCAGGAGGGCAGCTCTGCCCAGAGGGTTTGCAAGGCTCAGGACAGTAAAGCACTCTTCACTCGAGGAGGAGGGGTGTGGGGGAAGGAGGGTGTTTAATGGAGAAATATCATGGGTGCAGGTCTTGAGAATGATTCTGGATCACAGGATTTCACAATGGAAAGTGAACTTTGGGAATGAGCAGAGCCATTCGGTGCTGGAGCTCCCTCTGCTGCCTTCCAGGACACAATCCACGGGTACTGCTCTGCAGAATTCCATGCAAACTGTTGAAATACAGTGGGTGTAGGAGGGTTTTAATAAAGGATTTTCAATTATACATTATTGACATTCCCAGTAGCTGGACAGGTGAACTCAGTGCTGACAGGAGGGACTGTGGCTTCAGAGCTGACCTATAATCTACTGAGTAATAAACAGTCAGCAGAGGGTTCATTCTCCTGCAAGTCATCCCTGCTGCAGTCCTGAGCCCTTTGTGCATGAATGGGGGCGTTTCAGTAGGACTCCAATGTAACCCAGCTGCCAGTTTAAATTCCTTTTTTAGCAGATATTGTTATTAATTCCTTTTTTAGCTGATATTGTTATTAATTCCTTTTTTAGCTGATATTACTCTAGTAGGACACAGTTGGTTTGAGGTTCTGTGACTCACCCTGGACTGTTTGGCTCTGTAGGACATTTTCCTGGACCAGCTGACAAGGAGAGTCCACCAGCTGCAGGAACAAATTGCTCTGTTTGAAGCTCAGCTTGTGGCCCAGGCAGAGGACACAAAAGTGACCCGGCAGGCAATCACTGAGGTAGGAGGGCCCTTGTCCCCTGGGGTTAATATTTCCCTGGCAGGGCTGACCCCTTTGGCCCGTGCTCACGTGCTGTGCACAATGTGGGACAGAGTTTCACAGTTTGTTCCTGTTTGGAAGAATGAGGAGGTTTTTTTCTTTCCTTTTGTCCTTAAGAAGTGCCTGTAAATCACTTCCTCCTGCCCTTCTCAGCAGTTTTTTCATGCAGAACTGTGCTCTGTGGGCTGCTCAGAAATGAACCAGCCACGGAGGTGAAGCTGATCCTGCTCAGCACATTATGAACAGGAAAAGAAAAAAAATTGTATTGTAACACAATTTTTATCTTTTTTTAAACACAGTGTAGATTCATCCTGTCTGCCATGTCTCTGTTCCCAGGCTGGGCTGGAGGTCCAGGCCATTAACATGGAGAAAAAGAAGCTGATGGAGCACTGGAACAGCAGCTTGGCTGGAATGAAGCAGAGGGACGAGGCCTATGTTGTCACTCAGGAGCTGCTGAGGTATGGTCTGAAACCAGGCCCTGAGGACAGCTCAGATTTGGGCAGGAGGGATCCTAGAAGGGATTCCAGTGGGGTTTAGCCTCCTGTGGGCTCAGCCCTGTGTGGGCAGGGCGTGTCAGGCAGAACAAGTTCCCTGCTCTGAAATACATAATAAATTTAAAGGATGAGAAGCACTTTCTTTGTTGCTGTTTTGTTTATCCTAACCACATCTCTCCCTCAGAATGTGGGGCGTTCTTGAAGCTGCTTAGAGTTTTTATGATCGTGTTTTATTCCTTTAAAAGAGTTCTCTCACCTTTGCAACATTTCTTACTCCAACGACCTGGATGT